AACATATCCTTTGAATATCCAAAGAGATTCTACTCAATCCCCTCCTTATATCCAAGCAAGGCAATTGTTTTGATTGCTAAATCATTTCTTGCTTGAGTTTTTCCTCATTGCTTGAGTCTTTGAGAGATATTGCCATATTCTAAAGGACTTCATTGTATTTGCAACAATCTACTCCGTGTTGGGAGAATTACTCGGTTGCGGTTTGTTTTCTTACTTTATTGTAAGTGATTTGTATTCTTGGTGTTGGGATTACACCAAGTGGTAGAAATCCTAACGGTTTGTGAAATCAAACGTTAGGTGGAAGAAATCCTGAGTTTTGTGAAATCAAAACTTCAGTGGTAAGATAAGAGGCTTGTGAAATCAAGTTCTCGAGTTGTATTCGGATTTTCAAACTCCGTTAAGTTTGACGGGTTAGTGAAGGCCTGGGCACGATTGCTTCGGAGACTGGATGTAGGCATTTAGGCCGAACCAGTATATATCGTGTGTGCATTGCTCTTATCCTTCACTTTATTTTGTTTGTGGTGCATTTTTTTTATTGAATATTCGTGAAGAACATTTCCGTGCAAAAAACTGGTCTTTTGGGCAACACCTCTATTCACCCCCCCTCTAGAGGTGTGCGAGGTGTCTAACACTTTGCATCCGGCAAAGTCAGAATTTGAGTATCCCACTAACTCAAATGAACTGCTCTTAGCATACCATAAACCCATGTTCTGAGTTCCTTTGAGGTATCTAAGAATCCTTTTGGCTGCTATTAGATGACTTTCCTTTGGCTTTGACTGGAATCTGGCACAAACACCTACTGCATATGAGATATCCGGACGGCTTGCAGTAAGGTAGAGTAGAGATCCAACTATTCCTCTGTAGGGAGTTTGATCAACATCCTTTCCATCTACATCCATATCAAGCTTGGTGGATGTACTCATGGGGACAGAAACGGATGACTTCTGATCAACTTTGAATTTCTTGATAAGATCCCTTGTGTACTTGGCTTGGTTGGTGAGAGTCCCTTCACTTCTCTGTTTGATTTGAAGACCAAGGAAGTAGTTGAGTTCCCCCATCATGCTCATTTCAAATTTTCCTTGCATGAGGGTGGAGAACTTGGTGCAAAGAGCTTCCTTAGTTGAGCCAAATATGATGCCGTCCACATAGATTTGGACCAATAAGAGATCTTCTCCATCTTGAAGTTTGAACAAGGTCTTGTCAATGACTCCTTTGATGAATCCATTGTCTATAAGAAATTGAGACAATGTATCATACCAAGATCTTGGTGCTTGTTTGAGTCCATATAGTGCCTTTTTGAGTCTGTACACTTGATCACCTTTAGTGTGCAACTCAAATCCTGGAGGTTGTTCCACATAAACTTCTTCCTCTAGGTTTCCCTTGAGAAATGCGCTTTTGACATCCATTTGATAGACTTTGAAGTCCTTGTGAGCAGCAAAGGCTAGAAACAACCTTATAGCTTCAAGTCTAGCAACTGGAGCGAAGGTTTCATCAAAATCTATACCTTCTTCTTGACAATAACCTTTGGCAACCAACCGGGCTTTGTTTCTGACAACAACGCCGTGTTTATCCATCTTGTTCCGGAAGACCCACTTTGTCCCAATGACATGTTGATGAGTAGGTATGGGAACAAGTTTCCAGACGTCATTTCTGGTAAATTGGTTGAGTTCTTCTTGCATTGCATTGATCCAATCAGAATCAGCTAGAGCTTCCTCAATGCTTTTTGGTTCCACTTGTGAGATGAAACAAGCAAGCATAGCTTCTAGATTCTGTTGAGCACTCCTTGTGCGAACACCAGATTGAATATCTCCAATGAGTTGTTGAGGAGGATGATCCCTTAACCAACGAAGATTGTGTTGATTAGGGTTGACTGGTTGATCTAGTTCAGCTTCTGGTTGAAGAACAGAGTTTGTTGGTGATTCCGGATGGATTGGCACTGGGTCGCCACTTTCAGAATTGTCGCCATTTGAGTGATCCGGAATAATAGAAGGCTGGCCATGATTTCCAGTAGGCTCAGCACCGTCTGAATCCGGATTTCTTTGTGAAGTCTTCAGTGGTAGACTTACGAATGGAATGAACTCCGTAGGCTTCATTCTTGGTTGAGTTCTTCTTGCATTGCATTGATCTAATTAGAATCAGCTAGAGCTTCTTCAATGCTCTTTGGTTCTACATGCGAAATGAAACATGCAAGCATTGCTTCTAGATTCTGTTGAGAGCTCCTGGTGCGAACGCCTGATTGAATGTCTCCAATGATTTGTTGAGGAGGGTGATCCCTTAACCAATGAAGATTGTGTTGATTAGGGTTGACTAGCTGTTCTAGCTTTGCTTCTGGTTGAAGAATGGAGTTTGTTGGTGTTTCCAGATTAGTTGGGACCTAATCACCACTTCCGGAATTGTCACCATGTGAGAGATCCAGGATTTTGGAAGGCTGGATATGATTCTTGGTAGGCTCAGCGTGGTCTGAATCTGGACTTCTCCGTGAAGTCTTCAATGGTAGACTTCCGAATGGAATAAACTCCGTTGGCTTCATTCTATCTCCTTCATTGACTTCTTCATCTTTGTCTGAGAGATCCAGAGCCTCATGATCATGCTTAGATGGCTTGTCAACCACATCTTTTTCATCAAAAATAACATGTATTGACTCTTCAGTGATCATGGTTCTTTTGTTGAAGACTCTGAACGCCTTGCTCACCATGGAATATCCTAGGAAGATGGCCTCATCTGATTTCTCATCAAAAGTGTTCAAATGATTCTCCCCGTTGTTTAACACAAAGCACTTGCTCCCAAAAATATGGAAATATGATATATTAGGCTTTCTCCCATTCCACAGTTCATAGGGAGTTTTGTTGTGCCTTTTATAAATCATTCTGTTGAGGTGTCCTAGCTGCGGATGTCTGATGAAGAATCCCGTTTTCATCACAGTAATGAATGATGATTTCATTCAGGAATTCTGTGCCTTTGTCAGATCTGATCTTCTGGATGGTCTGACCTGCTTGGTTTTGAATCAGCTTCATGCAGTTTGTGAGTTTCCCTTGCGTTTTCTTCTTGCTGTTGAGGAAGATTGTCCACGTGTATCTTGAATAATCATCAACTACCACCAGGACATATTTCTTTCCACTTAGACTTATTGGAGTAATAGGTCCAAATAAGTCCATGTGAACAAGACTTAGTATCCTTGTAGTTGAGGGTGCCGGTTTTGCCTTGAAAGTAGACTTGACTTGCTTTCCTTTCTGGCAAGCGTCACAAACGCTTTCCTTCTTGAATACAGCTTTGGGAAGAACTTCTACTAACCCTTCTTTGGATAGCTTGTTAAGGGTTTTGAAGTTGAGATGACTCAACCTCTTATGCCAAAGCCATAGAAGGTTAGTGTCACATTTGCTGATTAGGCATGCTTCCTTGACATCGTCCCACATCACTTCATAGATGTTTCTGATTCTCTTCCCAGTGAGAATGACTTCATTTGTGGAGATGTTCTTGAGGGATGCCATGTCCTTGCAGAATTCCAGAGAATAACCTTTATCACAAAACTGACTTATGCTAAGAAGGTTATAGTTGAGACCTTCCACATAAGATACAGCTTGGATGGTTAGTCCCTTGTACACCAGATTTCCTAGCCCTTTTGTAAGGCCAAAATCATTGCTTCCTCCAAAAGTAACTCTTGGACCATCATAGGGAATTACATTGCTCAAAAGGCTCGCATCACCCGTCGTGTGTCTTGAACAACCACTGTCTAAGTACCAGACACCTGGGTACTTAGTGGCTTCCTGCATTAGGAGGAGGAAGATTTTTGTACCCAATTCAGTTTGGGTCCGGAATAGTTAATGGTGTGTGTCCCTACATCAAGTTTGAAGTTGCAGGGAATTTTCCTTGCAGCTCTAAACTTGTTGGGATTGTAGTCATAATTGTAGGCATAGAACTTCCTACGGCCAGGTGGTGCAATTTCCTGTTTTCTCCTAGCAAACTTAGGTTGATAAGACCTATAGTTTTGTCTAGGTTGCGCATAGTGTGACCTGTGATGGTTGTAAGCATACTTGGGTGGAACAAACATTTTCTGGGGTGGAGGATGACTATATCTTGGCATAGTTCTCCACTCAGAATTTCTCGGAAAACTCCTATCTACCCCATAATGAGTATAGCCTCGAGTATAGTGGGGGTTAGAAGGTTTTCTTCTGAAGTTGTTTCCTTTTTGAGGTGTGTCCAGCTTCCTATAGTTCTTAGGAGGGACTACCTTTTTGGGAACTTCTGTGGGTTTCTCCTTCTCCTTTCCTTTCTGCTTATTGAGCTTGGCAGTAGGTTTAGGAGGGATGAAAGTTGTTCTCCCTTTCCTTTTGGAATTGGAGGGGTCAAACCCAAGTCCTTCACGACCCTTTTGTTTGGTCGCTACAAGAAGCTTATCCATTGCTTCTTTGGACTTAATTATCCCTAGCTCCTTGTTAAGGGATATCACCTTTTCAGAGAGAGATTCATTTTCAGCCTTGAGTTGAGTAATCTCACTTAGTTGACTTTTCCGACCTTCAGTCAACTTGAGATTCTTTTCACTCAATAGCTTGTTCTCCTCTGTTAAGGATGAGTGTTTGAGATTTATTTCCTCAAAATCTTCCATCATCTTTTTGAACTGGTCAAAAAGATTTTTAGAAGGTTGTATGCTTTCATAAGAAGATGAGCAGGAGGTTTGTGAAGTTACCTCTTGATCAGCATGATCTTTGGCCATTAGGCAGAGAGTGTCATGTTCTGACATAGTCCACCGATCCTCATTGTTGGACTTCTTAGCTCTGCGCTCCATGCAGACAAGGGCTTCTTCATCCGAGCTTGAGCTGGATGACTCGTCACTTTCAGCTGCTACCATTGCCTTCTTCTTCTTTTCGTTCCTTTCTCTTTCTTCGTACTTCTCCACTTTTGGATACGGGCATGCTAACTTCCAGTGGCCAGGCTTCCTGCAGTTATAACATAAGTAAGATTCAGGAGGGGAGTCACTTACCTGTGGCTTTCCCTTGGACGGCCTTCTGACTGAGTCAGCTTTCTTGAAGAACTTCTTGAACTTCCGGAATTGCTTGACCATCATGGCAAATTCCTCATCGTAGTTCTCCATTTTTGAGCTTGGTGGCTGGCTGGAGGAAGGAGTGTCACAGTTTCTTGGGCATGTCCCTTCACTTGGTGGGGCTCTGGGAGTTGTCATCAATGCCGTGGGGAAGGGAGTGACTTGTTCTTCCTTCATCTTCTTCAGCTCATGCTCATAGGTTCTGAGCTCATCAAGGAGACCTTGGACAATGTAGTTCTCCAGGTTTCTTCCTTCTTCCATGGTTGTGGCTTTGGTGTACCACTCAGTTGGAAGAGATATCAGTTACCTTACATTCTTTTCTTTGGGAGAAAGAACGTGGTTAAGTGATGCAAGATCATTTAAAATTTTGTGGAATCTTTCATCCAACATATCAAATGATTCTCTGGGAAGCATTTTGAAGCTTTTGAACTTCTCAAGTAGGACCTCTATCTTCTGCTTTCTTAGATTCTCTGATCCCTCACACAGCTTCCCAAGACCTTGCCAAATTTCCATGGCAGTCTTGAGATGCTTGATCTTGGAGAAGGTGATGGGATCAAGTGTCTTGAAGATAGCTGCTTTTGTTAATCGGTTTAATCGTTGTGCCCACGCCTTAGGGGGGGGGGGGTGAATAGCGTTTGATCAAGAAATCGCAGGAATAAAAATGAATAAACGAGAAGTGAAGAGAAAATAAAGAGGCACACCGATTTTACCCTGGTTCACCATAACTTGTGGCTAATCCAGCCTCCCGAGAGACTCTCTCGAGCTACACTACAATCTCGTTAAGCTTAACGGTGCTTAACAAACCCGTACAACTTAAGAGTTCGAGTCACACGAACCTCAACAAACCTTCGAAGGAAACAACTCTTCCTTCGAACAACAAGAGAAATACTTTCTCTTGTCAAGTGTCTAAGAACACTAAAAACACTCAAGAACAATACTCTCTCTTAGAGGGGATAATGAGTAACTAGGAACGCTCAAGAACGCAACACAAGCTTCACAAAAATGGCTCTCAAAAAGCTATGAAAAAGTGATGAATGATTTGCAATGAAAGAGTAGAAGTTGTGAAGTAATGTGTTTTTGAAACAGACCCAAACACCCCATTTTATATTGGAAAAATAGGCTCCAACGAACCAAAACATTTAAGGGGTGATTGGCACAATTTGTGGGATTTGATTAAATTAGGATCTGCTGAAATTCACCCAGACAGCGCTGTCCTAGGCTTGGACATCGCTGTTCTAGGCTTGGTTTTTAAAAATTGGGAAGCAACGGTCATGCCAATAGCGATGTCCAATACCCCTACATCGCTGTTTAGGCTGTTGACTTCCAAACAAGGAAAGTTTTAGCCTTAAATTCCTTCCAACGGTCAGGTCCCTACATCGATGTTCATTACTTGAACATCGCTGTTTAGGTCTGACTTTGAAGGTGGAAAGTTTGGCCTGACAGCGCTGTTGCTGGGTCAACATCGCTGTTCAAAAACTTTCTGCCAGAAGCATTTCTTTTTGGCTTAGGTTAGACAGCGATGTAGGGTAGTCTACATCGCTGTTCCAGATGTTTCTGGAAACCCAACCTGGGCTCAACAGCGATGTCTAACATCCAACATCGCTGTTGGAAGACTTAACGCCAAACCATGGTTTTCAGCCACCCAAGCCAGACAGCACTGTTGGTTTCACCAACATCGCTGTTGGGCTGGTTTAGCCAGACCCATGGTTGGTTTAGTCAGCCGTTAGCCAATGTCAAAAATGTAATTTCTCCAAAATAAAAACCAAGTATTGAAAATGTTTGTTTAATGAATTTTGCTAAGAAATCAAGTAAAACATTTTGAAAACCACGTCATTTAGTTGAAAACCACGGCTAGCCAAGTTGATGTCGTTTCGCATGGTTTTTACTAAACGACCGAAAATGAAAGGTGGTTTTTGAAACGTTTTTGTTGGAGAACTATTTAAATATGCCCAGAAGTAAAAACCGATCATTAAAAGTTGAAAACCACTTGGTTGATCCGAACGCCAAAAACCGACGCTGATAACCGAAAGCCGAACGCCGGTTTCCGAAGACCGAACGCCGGATGGCTTGGTTTTTGGTTTGGGCGAACTCCAAGTGTTTTTAGGCAGTCTAAAACTTAAGAAAAACATTTTTTGAATATGCAAAAGATATTTTGACGAGAGAAGCCTAGAGAGCCAAGATTTGAAAGTTTGTGCCGGTCTTGATCATATTAAGACCGACTCAATACAATTCTAATTCTTCGTTCTTGATTCTTGGTTCTTGGTTCTCAAATCATCATGCCATGTTCCTTCACCTTGGTGTTGCTCACTTTAGCCTTGTTATGGTCACGACGGTTTGGCATTATCAAAACCTGTCATAAGACGAACACGGCTTAGTACGACATAGGCGTAAACCCGTGTTCCAACAATTTCCCCCTTTTTGATAATGGCAAACAAGACGGGGATATGCATACTAAGGGATATTTGACTTTGAAAAGAGTTGTGAAAAAGTTCCCCCTTAATTTGTGCTTAAAAAAAAATTTAGTCGGATTAAAATCAAACGGTCTCAGTTATAGAGGCGTTCCCCCTTAGTATATGCATAGCCTTTTTCTTCCCCCTTTTGACATTAACAAAAATTTAAAAGATACTTTTATTTATGAAAATGGGAAATGGAGTACAACGAAAGCGAGTAAAAAAAATGACAATAAAAAGAGATAAGAAATGCTAGGGGCGGCCTAGTCTTCTTCTTCCTCCTCTTCGCCTCCGGTTTCTTCGTCGTCGTCGACGTCCATCTCATCCCCATCGATGGCATCGTCGAACTCATCTTCATCCGGAGAGCTTGACGGGACGTAGGAGGCATCGTCTTCGTCCTCGTCACCGTACACTTGCCCAATGAACGTGCCATGGTACGGTGGAGGGACGTAGTTAACGCGTTGGAAGTACGCGTTCATGGTGTGCCCTTGGCGTTGTACCGCCTCGTCAAGCCTCTCAAGGTAGCCATCCATCCCGTCAACTTTGAAGTGTAGCCGGTTGAGGGAGTCGGCGATGGAGGCGAGGTTGGCCCGGGCCTGGGGTTCGGCTGGGCCAGCGGCAGGGGTAGTGCGGCGTGGTGCGGCAGTGGCAGGCGCGGCATTGTCCGACCGCTTTGTGAAGGTTTGGGCGCTGATCATCCAAAGCTTCGTGGCCTTTGTGAGCGGGCCAACGGTGGTGGTGACCTTGAACCGTTCAAGGATGTCCATTACCACGAACGGGTACGGGAGGAGGTGATCGTGGTCGGTGGACGCGGCGATCGACATGTTGATCATGACAAACTTTGCCCAATTGATTGGGGCCGAGTGCATGATCGCGTGGATGAGCTTGAGGTCCTCACCGGACATGATTGTGTGCCCATGCTTCCGGGGCTTGATGATTCAGGACACGATGTAGAGAACGAGTCGGCCTTCGGGGTTAGCGGAGTGGATGGTGGGGCGGCCCGAGGCATGGCGGATGAGCTCGGTGATGCCAAGCTCGTTGAGGATATTACCCTCGATGTTGAGCACCCAGTCTTCTCCGCCATAGTGAGAGACGTCTTCGCCTTGGAAGGGGAGGCCAGCGATGCGCCCAAGCTGCTCAACGAAGAGCTCAATCGGCGTGCTCTTGACAAGGGAGTAGAGCACGTTGTCCTCACGCCGGAGGTTTGAGTAGAAGGCCCGGATCAGCGCCAGGTTGATCTCCTTTCGAGCCCGGGAGACGAACGGCCAAAGGCCGGCTTGATGAAGCTACGCGTCAAGGTCGTCGTAGCCCTGCAGCTCCAAATAGCGCTCCGGGATGATTTGTGGGGGAGCCACAACCCGTTTGGAGAAAAAGGTGAGAAATCGGGTGCGCTCCTCCTCAGAATCGAACCAGAGGTACGACCCATCGCCGTAGTAGAGGCGTTCCTCGGAGGTCGTGGATGGAGCCCGGGATTTGGACTTGGATTTTCCGGAAGTGCCTGCCCTGCTCTTGTCTTTGCCCATGGTGAAGAAATCTCAAAAAATTAGAGTAGAGAGGATGAAATAAGTGAAGATATTGAAGGAATTTGTGTTTGTGTGTGTAAAAGTGAAGAGAGGGGGTCCAAATTTATAGAAGAAGAGGTTCTCAACGTCCAGAATTTCAAAAATATGGCTGTTGGAGCAATTAATGCAGGTGCCAACGGATATTTTTTTTTGAAAAATTTATCCAGAACAGCGATGTTCCAAGGTGTTTTGGGTAGACAACGATGTTTTTGAAAGGAACATCGATGTTCAAAAAGTTTCTGGAAAGTGAAGAGTAAGGGACTCCCTGGGACAGCGCTGTTGGCTTGTTGTACAGCGCTGTTGGCACAAACTGGTTGACGGTGTTTCTCTCAATAGCGCTGTTGAGTCTCCTGGACAGCGCTGTTTGCATGGTTCCCTCTGATTTTTTGAACGGGGTACCTGCAAAAAAGAAAAAAGGTTCTCTGACGCTCAAGTTAGTAAACGTTTAACAAGTTAAAATGCACAACTTAGATCATCGTGGAGTCAAGGATTCCGAGTTCACTTCGAATGCGGAAGAACGACTCTTTCTCTAAAGGTTTTGTGAAAATGTCGGCCAATTGGTTGTATGTTTCAACAAACTCAATTTCGACATCACCTTTGAGAACATGATCTCTAATGAAATGATGCCTAATGTCAATGTGTTTCGTCCTTGAATGAAGAACGGGGTTCTTCGTCAAGCTTATGGCGCTAGTATTATCACAACGAAGAGGAACGTGATTGATACTAAGGCCATAGTCCACGAGTTGTTGCTTCATCAAAAGGATTTGAGCACAACAACTACCAGCGGCTACGTATTCCGCTTCGGTTGTGGATAACGCAACACTGACTTGTTTCTTACTAAACCATGAGACTAGAGAGCTACCAAGTAAGTGGCAAGTCCCACTCGTGCTTTTACGGTCCAATTTGCAACCGGCAAAGTCCGAGTAGGAGTAACCAACGAGATGACAAGAAGATCCTTTTGGATACCATAGTCCAGCGTTAACCGTGCCGACAAGGTATTTCATGATCCGTTTCACCGCCATTAAGTGCGATTCCTTCGGACACGATTGATACCTTGTGCAAAGGTATACGCTAAACATCATATCCGGCCTACTAGCGGTAAGATAGAGAAGGGATCCGATCATACCTTGATACTTTTTGACTTCTACTTCCTTACCTTTCTCGTCTTTGTCTAAATGGTCAGACGTGCTCATCCGGGTCGCCATGGCTTTGGCGTTGTCCATTTCAAATCGTTTTAGGAGCTCCTTGCAATATTTGGTTTGGCAGATGAACGTGCCATCTTTCATTTGCTTGACTTGGAGTCCCAAAAAGAATGTAAGCTCACCCATCATGGGCATTTCAAACTCGCTTGTCATTAGCGTTGAGAACTCTTTGCACAAAGACTCGTTAGTAGCACCGAATATAATATCGTCTACATAAACTTGAACCAAAAGGACGTTATTGTTTTTACTCTTGATAAAAAGTGTAGTGTCAACCTTTCCCCTTTGGAAACCACTATCCAAAATAAATTTACTCAAACGTTCGTACCAAGCACGGGGTGCTTGTTTAAGACCGTAGAGCGCTTTCTTGAGTTTGAAGACATGGTCGGGAAACTCAAAGTCTTCAAACCCCGAGGGCTGGTCAACATACACTTCCTCTTGAATAAAACCATTGAGGAAGGCACTCTTAACATCCATTTGATAAAGTTTAAAATCCATAGACGAAGCAAAAGCAAGAAGTAAACGAATAGCTTCTAAACGTGCTACGGGTGCATAAGTTTCTTCGAAATCAATGCCTTCTTCTTGATTGTAGCCTTTAGCTACGAGCCTAGCTTTTTTTCTAGTGATTATTCCATTTTCATCAAGTTTGTTACGGAACACCCATTTCGTACCAATAACCGTACGATCATCGGGCCTTGGCACCAACTCCCAAACGTCATTCCATTTGAATTGGTTTAGCTCCTCTTGCATAGCCAAGGTCCAATATTCATCGTTTATTGCTTCAGAAATGGTTGTAGGTTCAATTTGAGAAACAAAAGCCATGTGTCCTACGGTGTCCCTAAGAGAATTACGAGTACTTACCCCGCGGTTGATGCTGCCGATTACCTGGTCAAGTGGATGGTTCTTGTGCGTTCTCCAAGCGATGGGAAGCTCGGTTTCCTCTTGTTCCTGGGCTTCCTCTTGTTCTTCTTCGTCCGCTTGGTCCTCATTTTCGACCATCACTTGAGGTGTTTCCTCAGGTTGTGGTTGCGGGTTGGTGTTTAATGGCGTGTCTTCCTCATCGTCTTCAATGTGCATTCTCTCAAGTGAGTCTGCAAGATCATCACAAATAGCCTTTCTCGCCAAGCGAGTATTATCTTCGGAAAACACAACATGAGGGGACTCCTCAATAGTCAAAGTACGTTTATTAAACACTCTATAGGCCTTGCTACGTAGTGAGTAACCAAGAAAAATCCCTTCGTCCGACATGGCATCAAATTTTCCCAAGTTATCTTTGCCGTTATTATGAATAAAACATTTGCAACCAAAGACTCGAAGATGGGAAAGGTTTGGCTTTCTCCCTTTGTATAATTCATAGGGCGTTTTCATGAGTATCGGTCGAATGACGGCTCGGTTTAATACGTAGCTCGCGGTACTCACGGCATCCTCCCAAAACTACTTAGGGATTTTTGCCTCATTGATCATAGTTCTAGCCATCTCTTCGAGACATCTATTTTTACGTTCCACCACTCCATTTTGTTGTGGTGTACGTGGAGCTGAGAAGTTATGATCAATGCCAAGTTTGTCACACAAATTTGAAAATAGATTTCATTCGAACTCTCCCCCATGGTCGCTTCTTATGGCTACTATGGTTGTCTCTTTTTCATTTTGAACTTTCTTTAGAAAATTTTTGAAAACATGAAATGCTTCACTTTTATGAGTAAGAAACAAGGTCCATGTAAACCTAGAGTAGTCATCGACAATCACAAACGCAAAGTAGTTGCCACCAAAACTTTTCGTTCTAGAAGGACCAAAGAGATCCATGTGCAAAAGTTGAAGCGGTCTAGACGTTGAAACAACGTTCTTAGACTTAAANTCAAAAGGTTCATGTTCATATGAGCTACCCTTCGGTGCCATAACCAAGTGTCTTCCTCTTTACTCATGAGGCACTTAGCAAAGCCGGAGGGAGATTTGTCTAAGTTAACCATATAAATGTTATCGATTCTATCACCACGTAGAATGACCTTATTGTCACTAAGGCGTTCTACCGTGCATGATTTTGAATCGAAGGTCACACGGTTTCCCTTGTCACATAATTGGCTTATGCTCAAGAGATTGTGTTTGAGACCTTTAACAAGCAAGACATTATCTATAGAGGAGTTTTCAGATTTACCTACTGAACCAACGCCAATGATCTTTCCCTTGCTGTTATCTCCAAAAACTACGTTTCCTCCTTTAGCGGGTTTGATTTGGAGAAACTTGGATGCATCCCCGGTCATGTGCTTGGAGCATCCGCTATCAAGGTACCAAAGTACACTTGATGCCTTCAAGCACACCTATGAAACACATCAATGAGTTTTAGGTACCCAATTTACGTTGGGTCCTTGAGTGTTAGGTGCAAAGTGGTAGTGTGATTCATTTTGTGCCCAATGTCTGTGCCTAGTAAAGCAAACGGGAGCTATATGTCCTACCCTATTGCAATAGTGGCAAACTATGTTTGGGTTGTGCATCCTCCTAGGTTGATAGTAGTTGCTAGGGGGCCTAACCATATTCATCCTATTTTGGGAAAATATTGGTTTTTGAAAATTCTCTCTTCTAGGTGTTCTAGCATTATTTTGTCTATTTGAAAAATTATTGTTATGCACAAATTCATTTTGATAGTTTTTCCTAGGTTGTCTAGCATGCACATTTTCATTCCTGGGCTTTTGTCTAGGTTGTCTAGTGTCCTTAGATTGACTAGATTTTCTATTGTCCTGATTTTTTCCTTTCTTATGTTGAGCCTTAGGAGGTTGTCTAGGTGTTTGCTCAACATTTTTATCCTTAGATTCATTTTTATCAAAACCTAGTCCTTCCTTAGAAAAGTGCATAGTGTCAAGAAGTAAGTTAAGATCTTTGTGTGGTGTATTGAATTTCTTAACCGTACTCTCAAGTTTAGCAACCTTTTCTTTTAAGGCTTTGCAAGATTCACATTTGCTTGAGGAGCTTTCTGGTTTGTCAGCGCTTCTTTTGCCATAAAATTTATTTTCTTGTTTCAATTTTTCATTATCTTTTTCTAGTTTTTCAAAATCATTTTCAAGACTTGAAAGACGTTTCTTTAATGATTTGTTGGTTTTTGAAGCGCTAACAAATTCATCGTAAAGCTCACGGAGTGCTTCTTGCATCTCTTCAAAAGTGTAAGAGTCGGAAGAAGTGATACATACCTCTTGTACTTCATCGGCGTGGTCTTCGTGTGCCATGAGACAGAGGTTAGCGGCTTCATCTTCTTCTTGATAAGTTGACTCGTCGCCGGAGTCTCCACCCCATGAGATATAGGCTCTTTGCTTTTTGAAGCCGGGTTTGTCCTTGCCGTTTTTGCCTTTTGGACACCTCGACTTGATGTGGCCTATTTCGCCACAGCCATAGCACTTCAGGGGACCGTCGTGCTTTCTTCCTTTGCGCTCAAATTCCTTCTTCATAAATTTGTGGAATTTCTTGATGACGAGTCCGAACTCGTTGTCATCATCGCTTGAGTCTTCTTCCACCGTCTCTTTGGTTGCTTTGAGTGCTATTCCTTTCTTCTTTTGTTCATCCAAAGACGGGGTTAGAATAGTAGATTCATAAGTTTTGAGATTACCTCTTAACCCGTCGATGGTGACGTTGGAGACTCCGATGGATTCGTAGATTGCGTCAGCCTTTGATCTCCATTCGAGAGTGAGACTCCGCAGGATTTTCCTCACAAGGTCCTTGTTGGCGTAAGTCTTCTTGAGTGCATGAAGGTCGTTGATGATCTTTGAGAACCGATCGAACATATCATCGATCTTTTCGCCTTCCTTCATCCTAAACATTTCGTACTCCTGCGTTAGGAAGTCGATTTTGGCTTCCCGAACTTGGTCCGTACCTTCATATGTGACCTCCAGCTTGTCCCACATTTCTTTGGCGGTGGTGCAGCAAGAGATCTTACGATAATCATCGGGGTTGACCACGCAGTACAGCATGTTGATTGCCTTGGCGTAGTTCTCCACCTTTTTGATGTCTTCGGCATCAAATTCGTCCTCGGTCTTTGGGACGAGTTTTTCACCGACCTTCTTCATTGGCGTTTCTTCGCCGTTTTTGATGACCAACCATAATTGGAAGTTGGTTGAGCGGATATAAATTCTCATCCGTTCCTTCCAATAGGAATAGTTGGTGCCATCAAAGAGTGGTGGCCTAGAAGTTGATTGACCTTCTCTAATTCTTGCATAGAGATTTCTAGAAGAAGAACCCATGATCGCTTTACTCTCAAACAGTTAAGTTTGGACACGAGTTAGGCTCTGATACCAATTTTTAGAATAATAGACCAACGCTAGAGGGGGGGTGAATAGCGTTTGATCAAGAAATCGCAGGAATAAAAATGAATAAACGAGAAGTGAAGAGAAAATAAAGAGGCACACCGATTTAACCCTGGTTCACCACAACTTGTGGCTAATCCAGCCTCCCGAGAGACTCTCTCGAGCTACACTACTATCTCGTTAAGCTTAACGGTGCTTAACAAACCCGTACAACTTGAGAGTTCGAGTCACACGAACCTCAACAAACCTTCGAAGGAAACAACTCTTCCTTCGAACAACAAGAGAAATACTTTCTCTTGTCAAGTGTCTAAGAACACTAAAAACACTCAAGAACAATACTCTCTCTTAGAGTGGATAATGAGTAACTAGGAATGCTCAAGAACGCAACACAAGCATCACAAAAATGGCTCTCAAAAAGCTATGAAAAAGTGATGAATGATTTGCAATGAAAGAGTAGAAGTTGTGAAGTAATGTGTTTTTGAAACAGACCCAAACACCCCATTATATAGTGGAAAAATAGGCTCCAACGGACCAAAACATTTATGGGGTGATTGGCACAATTTGTGGGATTTGATTAAATTTGGATCTGCTGAAATTCACCCAGACAGCGCTGTCCTAGGCTTGGACATCGCTGTTCTAGGCTTGGTTTTTAAAAATTGGGAAGCAACGGTCATGCCAACAGCGATGTCCAATACCCCTACATCGCTGTTTAGGCTGTTGACTTCCAAACAAGGAAAGTTTTAGCCTTAAATTCCTTCCAACGGTCAGGTCCCTACATCGATGTTCATTACTTGAACATCGCTGTTTAGGTCTGACTTTGAAGGTGGAAAGTTTGGCCTGACAGCGCTGTTGCTGGGTCAACATCGCTGTTCAAAAACTTTCTGCCAGAAGCATTTCTTTTTGGCTTAGGTTGGACAGCGATGTAGGGTAGTCTACATCGCTGTTCCAGATGTTTCTAGAAACCCAACCTTGGCTCAACAACGATGTCTAACATCCAACATCGCTGTTGGAAGACTTAACGCCAAACCATGGTTTTCAGCCACCCAAGCCAGACAGCGCTGTTGGTTTCACCAACATCGCTGTTAGGCTGTTTAGCCAGACCCATGGTTGGTTTAGTCAGCCGTTAGCCGATGTCAAAAATGTAAGTTCTCCAAAATAAAAACCAAGTATTGAAAATGTTTGTTTAATGAATTTTGCTAAGAAATCAAGTAAAACATTTTGAAAACCACGTCATTTAGTTGAAAACCACGGCTAGCCAAGTTGATGTCGTTTCGCATGGTTTTTACTAAACGACCGAAAACGAAAGGTGGTTTTTGAAACGTTTTTGTTGGAGAACTATTTAAATATGCCCAGAAGTAAAAACCAATCAATAAAAGTTGAAAACCACTTGGTTGATCCGAATGCCAAAAACCGACGCCAAAAGCCGAACGCCGGTTTCCGAAGACCGAACGCCGGATGGCTTGGTTTTTGGTTTGGGCGAACTCCAAGTGTTTTTAGGCAGTCTAAAACTTAAGAAAAACATTTTTTGAATATGCAAAAGATATTTTGACGAGAGAAGCCTAGAGAGCCAAGATTTGAAAGTTTGTGCCGGTCTTGATCACATTAAGACCGACTCAATACAATTCTAATTCTTCGTTCTTGATTCTTGGTTCTCAAATCATCATGCCATGTTCCTTCGCCTTGGTGTTGCTCACTTTAGCCTTCTTATGGTCACGGCGGTTTGGCATTATCAAAACCTGTCATAAGACGAACACGGCTTAGTACGACATAGGCGTAAACCCGTGTTTACGGTGTTGGAAAATGCGGAAGCAATATATAAAACGCATAAATAAAAGCGTGAATAAAATGCACACCAGATTTATACTGGTTCGGGAACTCCCTACTCCAGTACCTTAAGGCTCCTCCTTAGGATTTCCGAATCCACTAAGTCTCGGTCTCTTGAACTCCGTCAAAGCACCGCACTAGTTTTGGCAAACAACCCTTGCCAATAGGATTCACTCCGAGATTTCTCAACGGCTATCTCGTACCGTTTACAATGAAGATTTAACGGCTATCTTCTACCGTCCCCCCAAGGATTTCAAAGGCTATCCTTGAACCTTTACCCAAGGATTTATACGGCTATCCTTAACCGTTACAACGTGAGAATTTAACGGCTATTCTCGACCGTAAGAAGGTGTGTTTGAAGAACACAAAAGAGGATTCTACACAACGGCTAGAATATAAAAATGAAGAACAAAACTTTGCCGGTGTAGAAGGAAAGTATACTCTCTCAAAAATACAATTCAAACTTATGAATATGAGAGTATATAACTAGAAACACAAGCTCAAAGTGTGTGTATAAAAATCAGGAATTTAAGGCTCTTGAAATAGCTAAAATATTAAAAATAATTAATAAAAGAGTGAACACACTTAGAATATAAAGGGAGGATGTTTAGAGCTTTTTTTCTTTCAGAAATATGAAGGATTAGGCTTGTATTTATAGTGGAAGATGTTAATTAGCCGTTGGGAGGTGATTAGAGTTGATTTAATTCAAATTTCGCAATCAGAAACAGTGCTGCCAACGGATCCGGTAGGCAGGTGCCGTCCACACGGTAGCATGGTACCGTGCGTACGGTAGGGGGTACCGTGAGAGGCGGTACCTTGGTACCGTGTAGCACAAAAAACTTCATCCGGTTCTGGCGGTACCTAGTTAGGACGGGGTTGCTGACCATCCAGCCTACCGTACGGTACCAAGGTACCGTTACACGGCATGGGGGTACCGTGTAGGCGGTATACCCTACCGTTTGGAGTACCGCTAGGGGTACCGTGCCACTGTCCTGATTTTTCCAAAATTCCCGTAATCCTTCGTGTTTGAGTTTAAAACCTTTTGGGTATTTGAAAACGTTTATTGGACGGTTTTAAACATAGTTTGTGAGTGCTTTTGAGCTTGTGAATATAGGTATATAAAATCATATTCTTACATTGGTTTTCTACCTAAATTCTACGCTAGTTTAGTGTTTCGACTTCATTCTTGAGAACCCAATCTTAATGGATTCTTGTTCTACCTGAAACACTTAAACACACGTCAAGCTCTTATATTGTTTGTTAACATCAAAACATGAGACTTAGCAAACCAAGGCTAACAGCTTTGGCGACGTTGTCCAGATTGTGCTTTTTGCAATCTCTATCATCCCATTTCTCCTTGGGCTTTGGAATGTACTGGACTACATTTGGAGTGGCTGGATTCCTCTCAGGATTCTCCATTTGGATTTTCAAGGGTCCATCTTCAAGCACCATCCACATGCAATCATGTAGAGCGTAAAGGTGTGCTTCTATCATGATCTTTCAATCATCATAACCTAGAAGAGAAAACTTGGGCAAACCGTGATCCATATTGTTCACCATTATGATCGCTTCTCGTTAATCTAAATGTGGATAGTGAGAACCAGGCTCCGATACCAATTGGTGGTCCCAAAGTGGTGAGATACAAAGTCTAGAGGGGGGGTGAATAGACTTTGTTGCAAATTAAAAACTTTTTCGTTTCTTTTGAAAACGTGAAAATGAGTGTTTAATCTAAAGTTCTTGTGAACCTTAGATTGTGTACGGAAGTTGGTGGTTAAGTTGAGCAGTAATCAATATGGATGGATTAATTTTCACAGTTAATATAATTGAGTGTATAAGTAAAGATAAAAGAGAGAGACACGCAAACTTTAACGAGGTTCGAAGGTGGGGTAATCCTTCTACGTCCTCAAAATCCACTATGTAGTTGGTTGTTGAATAATGAACCAACAATTACACTTGTGTGAATTTCTGCACGGTATATCTTCGCAAGGCCAATGTTGCTACTGCACTCGTGCTGGCTTTGTTGTTCCTTCGAAGGTCACGCTTCTTCAACAACTGCAAGATCCGAACAATAGGACTTGCAAGATCAACTTGTAAGAAAGTTGATGTACCCCCTTTTAATCAAGAAGTTTGATTAAAAGTTATATCATTCAACGTGGTGTGGTACTTGAGGCAAGGAAACCTTCAAGTGTTTACACTATAGCTCTTTGGAAGGAGGAGAAGTTTGCTTCTGGATAAGGAGTTTAGAAATCTCTCTTTATCAAGCTTTTTGGCTAACTATGAATAAGATAGCTTTGTTGTCTGAGATTGCTTCTTTTGTGTTTGTTTCTCTATGTATCTCATCGTACTTTCTCCAGTCTTCCAAGGTTGCTATTTATAGCTGGATTGGATAATCTATCCGTTGAATAAAAAAAGACTATCCGTTGCATTTGCTGGCTTCAATTTTGAATGAAGATTGTGATTGAGGATTCCTCATTGGAATGGGTGTTTGGACATACCCAATTGTTTGAGGAGGGATTCCTTTTTCCACAGAATCCGTCTTCTAGCTGTTGTTCAAGAATTCTGGACTGTAGCTCTTTACTCAGTTTGTCTTATAGTGCTTGTTTAGGAATTCTGGACGAGCTCTTTAATTTGAGGGGTCCAGACTTTGTCTTCAAGTCATTTGTTCTTGAATCAGCTTAATTATCTTCAATCTAGCCGTTGAAAATCAAGAGGTTTATTTTTCCTTACCAACGGGTAGAATTTCTTCATTCAAGACTTTGATAATTTTCTAAGTCTTTTCTCACTTGTCCGCTTCTGAGAGTTCTGGTCTTTTCTTGAGGCATCCGATTCTTTGCTGACAAATCCGGAAGAGTCATTCTTAGACTTTCGGGTGAGAAAGAGATCCGCGCTAGTCTTCCGATTTGGATGACTTAGCCTTCAACGGGTTGTAGCGAGACATCCGGTTATCATGTAGTGTTCTGGATTAGAGAATCTTCAATTGCTTTGAGAATTCCTCACTTGTCTCTGACATTTCCGATCAAGATATCCAATTTCCATATCACTGAATATTATTAAGTCTTCAACCATCAAACCACTTAATGAAATATCACAAATTTATTGGAAATCTCAAGAACTCGGTTTT